TGGCAGGACGAGTGGCGCGACGGATGGCGTGAGGATCACTGGCAGGCGGGTGGCCAGCGCGGCGGAGGGTACCCCGATGATCGGGATGATCGAGGTGAAAAGAGACTCCGCTGGAAAGACTGAACTACCCTTCTGCCCTCACCGCCCCCCAGCGCCCGCCCCACCGCCTGCGCTTCACAACGCGCCACCGCGGCCCTCCGCCGCCCTTTCCCTCAACCTGGGGCGGCCCTGCCCCCCCTCCCCTGAGCGGCGCCCTCTCTCACCCGTGACCTTGGGGTGCCGTTCGACAATGCCGTCTGCTCCGTGCGTGACACCACGCATCCTGCAAACCACTTGCCACTGGCATCGCTGCTTTTCTCCGCCGGTGGCCGACGCCCTCTTGTCGCTCGGCTCCTCTCTCCCCGCCATGTTTCACTTCCTGAATCCCGGCGGGCGCTGCCCAGGCCGCGCCGCTGGCCCCCAATCGCGGCGCTCTGCCGCCCTCCGCCCGATGCGCTCACCTCCTGCCTTGGGATCCAGGTGCGCGCTTCGGCAATGCCGTCCGCCGCCTCTCCGCAGTGGACTCGCCGCCCCAGGCCCTACTGTAGCTGTCTCACCGCCAGGCCTTCCTGGCCTGTCAGTGGGCCGCTGCCGCCTGACCACTGGCTTCTCCCTGGACTTTCTAACCGAACGGTGGGCCTTCCGCCGTCGCCCTGGACCTTTCAAACAAGAAGGACGGCCATCCGCCGTCACCCTGGATCCGTTGGCTCCGTGGGACTCGTCTCGTGTACAAGACGTCCTCGTCCCTCTGTGCTAGACGACTCGGATGGGCATCGCTGGGCCACCTTTGATGTGCACACTCCTAGGGGTCTGCCGTGCATCATGCCCTTCCTCGCCCTCCACTCGTCGGATCTGGGCTGTCGCATCTCAGGTGTGGATGTTCTGTCTAGTCATCACTCTCCGCACCCTGGATGCGCTTTTTACGTTGCGACTGGCTCGCCGTCTGCTCTTCAGTTGGTACTTGTCCCCAGTCAGCCCGTGGTACCCTGCAGGCTCCATGGATCGGTGCCCTCTGGACGTCATTGCTGGACGGCTTCCTACCGCGACCTTGGATCAGTGGATTTGTGGGACTTGCCTGGGTATACACGGTCTCGTTCCGCCTGTGCTCTCCGTCTCATTGGACTGCACTGTGACACTGTGCTGTGCACGCGCCGCGTTTCGACGGGAGCGTGCATCCGGTGCCCTTCCACCCGTTGGGTCTGGGTCGATACGTCTTGGTGTGGTTGTCTTCTCGGAACATGGATACACCTTGATGTCGCTGACGCCGCGGCTCGCTGCCGCCGTCGGGATCCTCGTTGGACTTACCACCCCGACCTCTGTGTTACCCGACAGGCTGGGGCTGGCGTCCTCGGTCGTTCCCTTGTCCGCTCTTGGACGTTTGGACGTTGGAACGTTTTCGCGCCATTTGGCTGCGCTTGGTGGTCTCGGTGCCTACCTGAGGCCTGTTGGACGCACCTGCATGCCCGTTCAGGGGCTGTCATGGCACCTGGATTGCATCGTCTTCCCTGGACGCTGTCGTGAGCCGCCTGATCCGCGGCCCTGCGCGCGTTAGGTAATTTAGTCGCGTCCGCGGCCCGTTCGCGACCTTCCGCCGCTGGCGCTTCCGCCTGCGTTTTTTTTTTTTTTTTTTTTTTTTTTTTTTTTTTTTTTTTTTTTTTTTTTTTTTTTTTTTTTTTTTTTTTTTTTTTTTTTTTTTTTTTTTTTTTTTTTAAATATATTTTATATATCTTATATATATATATATATATATTATATATATAAATATATATATATATATATATATATATATATATATATATATATATATATAAAAAACCCACCAGCCCGTCCAGAAACGACGCCCAGGCGAGTAGAGGGTCGTCCTGAGGGGCTTTTCGGCGTCTTGGGTGCCTCGGGGGGGCCTCTGTGGGCCGTTCGGGATCTTCTTTGGGGCCTCCTGGGGGCCTCAGGGGGCCTCAGGGGGCCTCTTGGGGCCATCTTGGGGCCTTTGGGGGCCTCCTGGGCGCTTCTTGGGGCCTCCTGGGCGCTTCTTGGGTGCCTCTGGGGGGTCTCTTGGGGCCTCTTGGGGGTCTCCAGGGGGCCTCCTGGGGGCCTCTTGCAGGACATCGGTCAAGGAAGTAGGGTTCCTTAATTAGAGCCCCCCCCAGGAACTCAAAAAATCGTCTCCTGTACCGCTCTGGGACCGCTCTTGGAGCGCTCTTCGGCGCTCTTGGCGCCGTCATGGGGCTTTCTTGGGCCCTTCTTGGGGCTAACTTGAGCCATCTTGGAGCCATCTTGACGCCTCGGATGTGCATCGCAAGCGAAAAAGTGAGAACACCCAAAACATTGTTTTTCCTTGGGTTTTGAAGCATTTTTGGCTTCTTGGATGCATCCTAATGATGCTCTTGTGGGCACTTAGAACCGTCTTGGAGAGTTCTTGGGACGTCTTGGAACATCATGGGGACCATCTTGAGGCATCTTGCGCTATCTTGAGCCATCTTGGAGGGTATCTTGGGCTCCCTGAGGCCCTCTTGGAGCCGTCTTGGGCCATGTTGGGCGCTCCAACGCGCCGCGGAACCCCCTGTCCAGGTCAGCGGTCCCCCCCAGAGGCCCCCAGGAGGCCCCCAAGAGACCCCCAAGAGGGCCCAGGAGGCCCCCCAGAGGCACCCAAGGTGCTCCCAGAGGCCCCAAGATGGCCCCAAGAGGCCCCCTGAGGCCCCCTGAGGCCCCCAGGAGGCCCCAAAGAGGATTCCGAACGGCCCACAGAGGCCCCCCCGAGGCACCCAAGACGCCGCAAAGCCCCTCAGGACGACCCTCTACTCGCCTGGGCGTCGTTTCTGGACGGGCTGGTGGGGATACGCGAAGCGTCTAGAATTTTTGAATAGATATGTATATTAATACATACAGATAAACCGTTCCGGCTACAGTTTTTGAATAGTCGCCGTGCCATCTCGCGCAGGATCCGTTTTCGATCGTCGCTCAGAAGCCCCCAGCTTCTCGCTCCATCTTGGAGCCCCTGGGCCCCCCCATGGGTCTCGTGAGGGGTGACCTGGAGGCCGCGGTGGCCTCCTCGGAAGGCCTGGGGGCACCTTGGGCCAGGGGCACTTCTAGCAGCAGCCGAAGATGGAGTCCGAGAGCAGCCAGGACGCCGGAATCAGGAACAGGTTGGGTTCGGAAGGGGCTCGGTGATCCTTGGGCCTCTCCATGGCTGTTTCTCTAGCCCTCCCCGTGCACGCAAGCGCTTTTGGGGCCAAACAAGGGGTTCGTTCTTCATTTATCGTTCTTTGTTTGAGCAGCCCGGCTATGAATGGGGTTCGGTAGCAAATCATGGGAGCCTGGCATACCCCTGCAATCCCGTCTTCAGACTACGTTGGCGTCGATTAGTGTCTGGTAATCGATGAGACACCGCCGGTATAGCGTCGAGGAGCGTCGGTTTAGTGTGGACTAGCGTCGATGAGCGTCGATTCGCAAGAGCCAGCAAAATCGTATTGGAGGCTCCCGTGAGTTGCCGCAGAACTCAGGCCTCCCTGATGGGGTCATTGACCATAGCCAAGATTCGGGGAACAACTAATGACCTCAACACAACTTTCGGAGGTCGGCGCAGAATTCTCGGACCGGCGGCGCTGAAGCCCCCTGGCGGCGCTTCCGGCGCCGCCCCTGGCGCTCTCCGCGCGCCAGGGAGTGGGGTCCAGCGCCGATCCCAGAAATTCGCTTGGACCTTCAACAGTTTATGGTCATGTTTTCTTTTCTCTCACGATGATCATGGCCAAGATCTCGCGGGGTGGTCATGGTCATGGTCCATGGCAGCCGTCGCCGACTAGGGATGATCCGCGAATGGCCGCTGACAAAGATGGACGGTGACCAAGATTGACACTGGCCCACTTTGAGTGGTCCTTCTTGGGAGCCTCAGAGGGTCCCACGAATCCCTGCGGTTTTGGGGGTCTCGTCGAGACTTCGTCGGATTTGGTCGACGTCTGCGTTGCTTATAGGGCCGCGGAGGTCCACGGAAGCTCCCATGGATCTGCGCGGACCGTCGAGAGCTTGTGCCTGCGACGACATGAGCATCTCAGCTATCCGCCGTGTTGCGCGGGGAGGAGGAGGGGGAGGAGGAGGAAGAGCAGGAGGAGGAGGAGGAGGAGGAGGAGGAGGAGGAGGAGGAGGAGGAGGAGGAGGAGGAGGAGGAGGAGGAGGAGGAGGAGGAGGAGGTGAGGAGGAGGAGGAGGAGGAGGAGGAGGAGGAGGAGGAGGAGGAGGAGGAGGAGGAGGAGGAGGAGAGGAGGAGGAGGAGGAGGAGGAGGAGGAGGAGGCGGAGGAGGAGGAGGAGGAGGAGGAGGAGGAGGAGGAGGAGGAGGAGGAGCCGAGGCAGGGGAAGGGCTCTTGTCCTCCTCCCCCACAGGGGGGGCCGCCCGGGGTGGGGGTCACGACTCCCGGGACCAACAGGGGACCCCCTGCGGGTCCCTCCCCGGGACCACCCACCGGGACCCCCCCTCCCCGGGCGGGGAAGGGACAAAGGGAAGGGGCTTCCCCGCGACGCAATTACGACATTGTTGGACCTCTTGTTTGTTCGACCTCCCTGACGACGACGATTCAAAGGCGGCTGGCGTACTTCAGTTTGGGTTGGGCTGGCCTCGCGTCGAAGGGCCTCTCACACGCCGACAGAGTCGGCGGATTTCTGGCACCACGGCGCCGCACCCGCAGCACTGGTTGGCGCCCATGCGCAGAATGTCTGTCTGCCTGGCTGCCTGGCTGCCTGCCTGCCTGCCTGCCTGGCTGCCTGCCTGCCTGCCTGCCTGCCTGTCTGTGTCTGCCTGTCTGTCTGTCTGTCTGTCTGTCTGTCTGCCTGGCTGCCTGCCTGCGTGTCTGTCTGTCTGCCTGCCTGCCTGCCTGCCTGCCTGCCTGCATGCCTGTCTGCCTGCCTGCCTGTCTGTCTGTCTTTCTGTCTGCCTGTCTGTCTGTCTGTCTGTTTGTTACTTTCGTTCTCTAAGGACGGTCTCCGTGGTGCAGCTCGCGGCGGTTGTTCTCTGCTCGGCAGTGGGATGCTCGGGCGAAGAGAGCTGTGCACACATGCGCCATTCCTGGCCAGGCCCATCCTTCGGCGGCGCGCCCCGGAAGAAGTGAGAGGGTGCGGGCTGGCGGGTCATCTCAGAAGCCCTCCAGCTTTCGGAGAAGCCGCCTGTGTCTTCGGAGAAGGCTTAGAAGGCCTTTCGGACGGCCAGAGGCCTTCTGAGCCTCCTGAAGAGGCCCGCCCCCTCAGCGTTCTCGCCGCCGAATCCTGGGCCCAGGGTCGGCGCAGGTGCCTCCCTTCCCATGCCAGGGAGGGCGTATGCGCCGATCCTGGGCTCAGGCTGGGCCTGTCCGGGATCGGCGCACGTGCACGGTCCGCCTTCGTCCAGGATGGGCAACTGGTTGGATCCCGTCTCCCGCCGCCGGTGTTGGCCCTGGATTCTTGCGGTGGCTGCTGCCCGCGGCCTTCTCGCACGCTCTGGGAAACGGCCTGACGGCGGTGGCTCTGTCGTGGGGCTCCGTCTCCTTCATGCACGTCGTGAAGACCAGCGAGCCCATCTGGATGGCACTGGGAATCTTTCTGGTGATCCGGGGCAACGTTGGAGGGGGGCATGGGCTCAGGGTGGGTGCAAAAGTCGACCCCCCATCGCCCGTTCGTCGCCGCTAGGGGGCCCGATGGCACAGCTCTCGCAGGAGCGTGGGGCTTTGCTGTCGGGTGTCCATCGCCTGCCCCGTCGGCGATGCCTCGCCGCTTCCAGCCGGCATCCTCTCCTCCCCCTCCCTCTTACCTCCTCCTCCCCCCCTCTCCTCCCCTCCCCCTCCTCCTCCTCCCTCCTCCTCCTCCTCCTCCTCCTCCCTCCTCCTCCTCCTCCTCCTCCTCCTCCTCCTCCCCTCCTCCTCCCTCCTCTCCCCCTCTCCTCCTCCTCCTCCTCCTCCTCCTCCTCCTCCTCCTCCTCCTCCTCCTCCTCCCTCTGACGTTCCACGGCAGGTGAGCGGGACGCGCCTGCCGCGACCGCAGTTCCTGGCCGTGCTCCCCATCATGTTCGGCGTCGCGCTGGCGAGCGCGGGAGAGATCGCCTTCACCTGGGTGGGCTTCCTCGCCGCCGTCGGCTCGACCATCGCCTTCGCCGCGCGCGGCATCTTCACGAAGGGGCTGATGAGCGCGGAGGGCCCCGACGGCCAGAGGGTGTCGCCGCTGAACGCCTTCGCGCTGGACTCGCTGTTCGCCCTGGCATTCACCCTCCCCCTGGCCGCAGCGATAGACGGCGGAGCGCTCGTGTCCGCGCTGCGTACGGCCGCGGCCGTGCCGGGGCAGGCTGCGCGGCTCCTGGGCCTCCTGGCCGCCACGGGGCTGACCTACTACGTGTACAACGCCGTCGCCTTCCAGCTGCTCGGGCTCCTGGACGTGGTCTCGTGGGCGGTCGTGAACCTGGGCAAGCGCGTCGTCGTGATCGGCCGCAGAGTGGGGGAGAAAGTCGGAGCAGAAAGACCTGCATACACATGGATTTCTGGAGCGCCGCACGGACCTCGCTGACCTGCGATGGACTTCGCGCGCTTCGCGCGCCAGGGAGGGGGCCCAGCGCCGAACCAAGGAATCCACGCGGACCTTCGACCGTTGATGTTTATGCGGTTTTTCGTCCTCCAGAGACAGGGCGCACCCACCGCTACCGAGCCTCCACAACGGCTGGTCGTGTGGACCCAGATCCTGGTGGGCGGGGCCTCCCCGTGGGGCCAGGAGGCCATGCCCAGCAGTCACCCTGAGCCAAAGGTCAGAGGCAACGTCGGGGGGATGGGCTCAGGGGGGGGAGACGTCCTTCTCGCAGTGAGGGCTCGAGGTTTTCGCATATGCTCCTTGGCTCTCGGTGGCTTTCCAGCCCTGGGATGCCTTCTCGCGGCTGCGCTTCGCCGAGAGCGCTCGCCGCGCCGAGATCGTCGCGAGCGGCGGGCGGAGGCCCGAGCCGTGGCCCGAAAGTTCACCAGGGGATCGGCTCAGGGGGGACGGCATCGACCCCCCATCGCCCACTCCTTGCGGCGAGGGGCCCGATGGCCAACACCGCCCAGGAGCGTGGAGCTGTGGCTCAAGTCGGGCCCGTCCCTCTACGGGGGGAATATACTCGAACGTGGTCAAAACATAGCCTGGGGACTCTTTTTCGACTATTTTTGGGCATTTTGGGGGGTATCGTTTGAGTATATTTTTTTTTCCGTCGAGCATCCCCCTGTAGGGGGACAGGCCCGACTTGAGGCTGGGGGCCCGATGGCCAACACCGCCCAGGAGCGTGGAGCTTTGGCTTCGGGGGCGTATCGCAGAGATTTATCGGCGACGTGTTCGCCCCCTCTGGCTCGACGTCCCCCCCCCCCCGGAGCCAGTGCCTCTCTGGCCTTGCGCCCCTCACTGGGGGGCCCGACGGAAACGGGTCCCGAGTTCAAGTCGGGCACGTCCCTCTACAGGAGGAACATTCGAAGCTAGTCAAAAGTTCGTCCGTGGACGTTTTTTTGAGCATCTTTTGGCTATTTAGGGGTATTTTTGTTGTTGGTATTTTCAATTATTCGCCCCACATCCCCCTGTAGGGGGACATGCCCGACCCATTCCTGAGCTTTTCCTGTAACTCTCTGCCTCTGGGGATCTTTGCCAGGGCTCCGGGCCGTCAGAAAAGCGTCTCAGGATGAAGAGTCGGTTCAAGGCAGCCCCAGGGTCTCCAAGACCCGTTGCCCCCAACATCTCCCTGCGCAGCTCCTTGCAATCACCGAGATTTCGGTCCAGCACTGGCCCGGTGGAGGCGCGGTTGTGGTGCACGTATACCCAGACACCCGAAGTCGTGTGTTTGTCGCATCTTTGACCCCTAGAGGTCGGGTGTTGCTAGAAGTGACCCTGGCCCAGGGTGCCCCCAGGATTTCCAAGGAGGGCCCCCGGCCTCCAGAGCACCCCTCACGAGGCCCAGGGGGCCCCAGGGGCTCCAAAATGAGCTAAATGCTGGGGCCACGGCCAGGGGGGCCTCTAGCAGCCCCCGAAGAGGTCTCGACCCCTTCCCGCGGCGAGGCTTTTCGCCCCGAGCGGGTTCTCGGCAGCCCCGGGGCACGGCGAGGGCGCCCCGGGGCCCGGCGAGCGGTCCCAGAGCACAGACGCCCGGCCGCTCCCGTTGTTTCTTCCAAGGCGCCGGCCGTTGCCCGGGCGCTGGCTCTCTCCGACGGCCCTGGGCCGGGGGCCACATGCGAGCCCTGCCCCGATCCCCCACGAGACCTGAGAGGTGGGGGTGGGGCTCACCTCGCTCGGGAGCTCCCGAGCGAAGTGCACCCCACCCTCCCCCTCAGATCTCGTGGGGGGTGGGGGCAGGGCTCGCCCGTGGCCCCCGACCCGGGGCCCGGCGAGGGGGCCCCCGGGGGGCCGCCCGTCGGGGGCGGCACAGAGGGGGGTTGACGACCAGGGCTAAGTCGGGCCTGTCCCTCGACAGGTGGAGCTAGTCAAAGATAGAAAAACAAAATAGGATGGGGGCGATTTTTGGAGCATCTTCTGGCATCTCTGGAGCAGTTTTTGGGGTATCCATAATTTGTCGCCCAATATCCCCCTGTAGGGGGACAGGCCCGACCTAAGACTAGGGGGGGGATATCGTGGCCGGGGCCATGATATCTCCCCAGAGATCTCATGGCGCCTCTGCTCACTTCAATGCGACCCTGGTCTCCCCCGCTGGGCCGCGCACATGCCGCTGGCCCCGAGTTGCTCTCTTCCCCCCCTCATTGGACACCCCCCTCAGTGGCCGCCCCCGAGACAGGGGGACCCGAGGTCCGCCGCTCCCCTTTTGTTCGTGGGGGTGTCGGCTCCTCGGGAGCTCTGTCGTCGTGGTGCCTTCCTGGCCCGAGGGGGGCCTGGGCACGCGCGCCCGCCCCCCCGCGGCGAGGCTGGGCCGTGGTCGCCCTGCAGACGCCGCTGACGTGGCGCGCGGTGGTGGGCTCCGCGGCCGCGCTCGCGGGCTTGGGTCTGTACTCCTACGCCAAGGCGAGGGCGTAGGGGCCGCGGGGCGGACTTGGCGGACTTTGGCGCGCCAGCGGCTCCGAGAAGCGGCCCGGCTGCATGTCAAGCAGTGGCGAAGCGTCCTGCTTCGCCTATAGCCCTACCAAACAATGTTCTGAGGACCTCTTGTGGTTTCCACGAAATGTTCTTAGAACATTTCTGCTCGAGACTGTCTGGTTTTTAACACATCGGGTTTATGTTCTAAGAACATTGTATTTGTTCTCAGAACTTTTTGGGTTCTAAGAACATGTCGTGGTAGGACTATAGGAATGCCAGGACGGCAGGTCCCCGCGCAAGCATGCGAGAGTGGCCCTTGGCCGGAGCGGCCTTGGGTGCGGGCCCCGAGGGGCCCCCCCGATTGCCGAGCGCGGTGCGAGGACATAGCGTCGTGCGCGCCTGTGCCTGGTCCCGCCGCGGCCCCACAGGAGCCGCGCACCGAAGGCCACTCTTGCCCAGGGTCACTCCTGCGCGTGGCCAAAGGGCGCCGGGCAAGTGGAAGGAGTGGTCCCAGACGTGCTCGCGTCGGGGGTTTGTGGACATGTTCGGCCTCTGGGGGGCTTCGCCGGGCCCGGGGACCGTCAGCAAAACGAGGCGGGATGTAAAGCCGGCTCTGGGGAAAGGGTCGGGACTTCCAGGGACCGAGTATCGAACAAACATCGGGAGATCGCACGTCGGGGATAGGAGAGTGGAGGAGGCGGGCAAGGGTGGATCTGGGAGGAGGGACGAGCATCGGGAGCATGGATGAAGAATTGCTTGTCTCTCTCTGGGCCGGGATGCGCTTTCCTACTGCAAGGTGCACTCGGGATTCGTGGTGGTCATCTTATCAATTGCGGGGTTCGCCAATGTCACGCATGTTGTGACAAGTGCAATGCACGAGCACGTCATCTACAGTGAATATCTGGACATCGTATGATTAGAGGGAGTATGCGATGGACACAACGGCACTGTGTTTGATCAAACAGTGCGAACACATTGGGAACACATTGTGGCGCTGCCGTGTTTCTGACATATGATGATCGCGGGGAGTTCGATCTGGTTTTGGTGGGAGGGTGGTCGGGTGCACAGGGTGCTTTTACGATATCGTTGGCAACGCCAGGTTTGTATTTGTCACGGAACTGGTGTGCAACAGGGGATGGAGGAGGAGGGGGAAATGGGGGGGGACAGGATGAACATGGCGAACCATATGCCCTGCTTAGCTCAAGTAGACCAGTAGTTCTTGATCATCTATCTGAAATTTCACAGTTCCTGGTGGGACAGAGGATGCCATGATCTATTTTACTGTTCATCGTTCCTGGTGGAAGGTGCGATCTCGTGATGTGACGCTCGGCGTTTTTTCTGTGTTCCCCCCCCAGGGTTCCTGCAGGGAGGCACGTTGCACGCACAGAGAGACAGCTCACACTGGAGACTAAGGAGCTCGAGCAGCTGTGGAGGAAGAGGGAGGAGAGGAGGCAGGGTAGGGAGAAGGGGCATGATGCGGGAGGGGGGAACGAGTGGAAAGGCTAGAGGGGACAGGGACCAGCATGAGGAAGAGGGAGGGCGGAGGGGGAAGAGTTGTTCAGCCTCTTCCCCTGCCTGCTCCCTGCCGCCGCCGCCGCCTTCTGCTGCAGTGTTGAATTGCGCCGCATCTGGTCGGTTCTGGATGAAGGCGCCAGTCTGGTGCCCAAGAGCCCGGGCTGGCGCAAAAGGAAGAGCTTTGGATCGTCGCTTTGTCGTCGTCCCTCCTCCTGTGCTTCCATATCTTACGTATACCCGCTTACTGGATAATTGAAGGCATGTCGATGCGACCCATATTGGGCAGTGATGAGACCGACTTATCATCATCATTACACCCCACATTTGCCGGAGATCGTGTTTTCCTGGTATATATCTGGAAGAGAAGAAGGGGTGGGGGAGACCGAGGGGCGTCGAAGACCAGAAGAAGGGATCGAGAGGAGGAGGAGGCGGAGGAGGAGGAGGAGCAGAGGAAACCCGATATGCATCAGCGATGTTGTATTATACACTCCCGTCCCAAGTCCCCTGCTCGCACATCCCTACGAGTCCTCCTTTCCATGGGTAGAGTCGCCCCTTTGAAAGGCCGGCCCCTGTTGGGCGATTCAGCCAGGAGCCCCGTTTGAGAAGGACCTGCCTTGTATCCGGTCATTGCGTAATCGTGCGACAATTCCGGTAGGCATTTTTCAGCGAGGGGTCCGCCGAGAGTCCCCATTCGTGTAAATGTTGCACACTATCACAATTGTGGCCGTGCGTGTCGACGACGTATCAGGCGAACCTCGTTTTGACAATTGATTTGCCATCCATCCGTGCAGTTGTTCCATCTGTTGAATCTCCTGGTGTTCGAACTCGAGCGGTCCCCATCCTTATCTTGAGTCTGCTGTGCGTTTGTAGGATGAGTGTGCGCGGTGCTAAGACGGGAGCGCCATGTTTAGTTTCCAACAGCAGTCGTAATCCGTGTGAGCTTTGCGCGTTTTTTAGAGGCGAGTGCTAAGGCCAGTGCCCTATCCTGCAAGAAAGAAAGCTTCTCCATCCTCGTAACCGCCCCAGCTTTGTAAGACGAGTGTGCGCGACGCCAAGGCGTGAGTTTCATGTTGACAACGACCTCATCTATTTGTATACCTAGTGCTAGCATTTTAGAACGAATGTGCGCGGAGCTAAAGCGTGACCCCCACTTTGACCCCCTTTTCATCCTTGTAGTTGGCTCCTGTTGTCAAAAAGAAGGCACGCGGAGCTAAGGCGAGAACTTTCGCAAACGATCCCGCTCCATAATCATAAACACCGAAAC